GACCCTTGTGGATTTCTCTCTTACAAGAAGGGAGAAACAAGACTAATACAAGAGGACAAGAAGTCTTGTGGTCATCTAATCACTTAACAACAAAGAGAAGTGCTTTCGTAAATGAGAAATTTCATGCTTCTAGTGATCTGCAGTTGCTTTGCTAGTCTGCCAACTATACTCTCCAGACGCAGCATTACTGTTTTTGATAGGTTATTCAGCATTGCAATTGACTTATCGCTATAGGGAAGCAAGGAAACCAGCTTTTCCCATATCAGTTTTCATCAAATATACCAAGTTACTGGCAAGCTAGTAAATACCTATGTTGCTCGGATCGTCCAAAATCCATTTTTTGCACACCCATGTCGATCCGACAGGACTTGGGTGTGGGTATGGTGTGGAGCAGGGGAGGACACACTTATATCTAGGGGTGTCATCCGACAGCTTCATCGGAAAAGTTTAATAAATTTATGTGTATATATCTGAAAAAATAGAATATGTTGTAGATATATATTATATATGACACCTCTTAATACAAAGGGTTCCCTGGCTCGCTGTTTATGTGTCTTGCTAATTTGATCTTTGCTGAGTGTTCTAACCTCTCTACAACGAGTTCACACTATTTTTTCTAGATCTTTTGTAAGTGCTTTACCCCTTTGTGCTAAAAACTATTATAGAAAATTAGGTTATGAGTTGAGGTTGAATCCATGACGTATTTCCTAGTTCCTACATATATATTTATTACTTACACAGTTGTCTGGTGCCCGAGCAGATACTGTCTTAATTCATAAAAAGAAAAGGATAAATGATGTGCTTGAGCCCTAGGTACTTCTTGAAGGAAGTGAGGAACCACTGCAATTTAGACATTATAGATATGAACTTCATATAGTTCTCTTCCACGAAATTTATTTTCCCTTTTCACTTTTTAACAAGAGACCAATGGTGCAATTTCAAATTTTGAGAGTTTTTCTTGTTGCATTTGCTGGACCGTGCAAAACTATTTGATGGGATACTGGTTATCTGCCATTTTCCAAAGTGAGCTACAGATTTTTGAAGATGTATATTTGCAGGTCCTACAATTTCCTGCAAGACCCATGCGCTTCTTGTTAGAGAACTGACAAACTTTTTTTTTTCTCTGTCCGGACCTAACATCTCTTTATGAGTTTCGTCTTTCTTAATGTTAAAGCTCTTAAACATTTGCATTTAAATATGTATTTAGTGGTCCCTTTTGACTGTTTTAAGCAGGATAAGTCTAGTAGTTTTACCATTAAAAAATTAACATGATATATCTTCTGCTCATCCTTATACTTATTTGCCCATGTTAACTTACTACGATTGTTGCTATAAAGGACTTGTTTTGTTGTTACCTTGTCTTCAGGTTGCAGCAGTACCTGAGGATGTTGGGACAGCTGGAGCTCTTAGGGCCATTGATCGCCACCTGACTGCGAAAGATATTTTGGTTGACATTCTAATTATTAAAGCTTTTCAACAAGGAGCATGCTTCAGTGAGCTAATTAGTTTTGATTCTTATGCAGGTTGTGAGTGGTGATCTTATTTCTGATATTCCTCCTGGGGCAGTGGCAGCAGCTCATAGACGGCATGATGCTGCAGTGACTGCAATGCTTTGTTCTACTCCCATCAGTGGCCCATCAGAGTCAGGTTCCTCTGGTGGAAAGGACAAAGCCAAGAAACCGGCACGCCATAACATTATAGGACTGGACCCCACTAAACAATTTCTGTTGCATGTAGCTGCTGGTGAGACCCCGGCATATGCTTTTACATCCTTCATGCATCAGTTGGTGTTATTCCCTTATTTGGCATCTTTGATATCCTCTAGGAGCTGAAGTTGAGAAAGATATTCGTGTCCAGAAGAGCATTCTCCGAGCAGTAGGCCAGGTAAATGATGCCAATCAAGTATGACACGTATTGCTAGTGGTATCACTAAGATATGAGTTTTTTTATCTGATATATTTTTCTTCTACTCAAGTACCTTTCCTATTGTCTGATTCCTGTTCACTGGAGAACTGAATGGGACAAGAGGGAAATAAGTGAAGGATTGATAGATTGGCTTGATGATGATTCAGCTCATCCTTGCAATCTGTAATTCAGCTCGGTCTTGGTAGTTATATTTTGGAATTTTAATATGATCTATTCTCTTTCATTTCTTCTATATCCAATCCCTGAGTTATAAAGTTCTTTTTATATGATCACATGTATTTCTACTATTGATTTTGGCTTGTTAACCAATGTGATATACTGGACTTGCTGCTTTCTGTAAGAAACTTTTTTTTTTCACGTGAAAAAGTGATATTAGACCATTAAAAAAAAGCAGTGCACATGTGCAGATACATCCAAATATTCAAGCTTCTATGTTATTTTTGGTGGAGTTCTCCTCCATCTTATCCTTTTTCTTTGATCTGCAGATGGAGATTCGTGCTGATCTAATGGATGCTCATATGTATGCCTTCAAGAGGTTCGAGGTGTTTCTTTTTTATTTCAAGTGGTTTATAGTTGATAGTGTTTATCCTTTATGCTTGAATGTTCTCTAAAATGAGTTTGTTTGAAAATGGTTGTCATTTCCACGTTTTTCTCTGTAGAACCGTTTTGCAAGAGGTTCTGAATAAGAAAGAAACTTTTCTGAGCTTGAGGCGTGATGTGTTGCCTTATCTTGTGAGGAGCCAATTAGTAAGTCTATTACAATGCGTGATTTTTCCTGCCACATGTTAACTTTGTTTACTTACCATCTAAGATTCTCCATGAGTTAATGATGTTAATTGTATTAGAGATCTGAATTATCACAAAATGGAGCGGTAGCAGAAGAGAATGGGAATTCTAAGGGTGTTTCTGATAGTACAATTATGCTGTCACAACTGCTGACCAATGCTTCTACACAAAGTTTTCATGAGCTATACGCTTTGGGTCCTGATGGTTCTGCTCTGTCTCCAAGAAAAACACACAAATGCTGTGTACATATTGCCAGCAAGAGCAATTACTGTGTTCGCTTAAACTCTATTCAAGCCTTCAGTGACATAAATCGAGATGTGAGATTTACTGCTTAACCTTGTATTTTTGCTTATATCTAGCAGATGTGTGTGCATGTCTGCTTATGAGCTAGTTTACTTTCTCTATGATTTAGGTCATAGGTGATGCAAGTCACTTGTCAGGCTATTCTTTCTCTCCTCAGAACAACATCATTCATCCTACAGCCGAGCTAGGTTCAAAAACTACAGTGAGTTGCAATCTTTCTTTGGTGACATGCAGAATATTATGTTGCGCATGTTGTGTCATCTTTGTTTATTTATTTTCTTGCCAAGTGTCAAATAAAGAAGTTCATATTGCATCATATTCTTTCCTTTTGGTTTTAATTTGTTTCGTTGAATCTTGTTTTTTTTATGGGTACTGTAAGAAATTTTGTTATGGTTAACTCATACTAATTCAATGCTACGAAAAACATAGTTACAATTGTGCAAGTTGTTGGATTTTGGTTTTCATGACTGAGGTATTAATCTGATTTAGGTTGGACCACATTGTATGCTAGGAGAAGGTTCACAAATGGGTGACAAATGCAGCGTGAAAAAGTCCGTCATTGGCCGACATTGTCGGATCGGCTCGAATGTGAAGGTACAATTCATTTTTTACCTCTGATGAAAAGGGAAATAGTTAGTACTTACATTCCATTCACCGAACAATGACACCACCTCAGAAAATCCAGCTGCCACATACATTGCCTAGCTGGTTATTAAGTCACTTGCTTCCTTCTGGCTTGTCCTTGCAGGTTGTCAACTCAGTCATAATGGACCATGTTACTATCGGAGATGGTTGTTCGATCCAAGGTTCTGTTGTTTGCAGTAATGTACAGCTCCAAGAACGTGTCGTACTGAGAGATTGCCAGGTATCTTGCTTTTCTTTTCACCTGGTTCTTTTTTTCGTATAATAAAAATACTAGCAATATTATTATTGTTAGTATTAGTATTTTTGTTATTAATGAAGGGGAGCCTTGGAGCAATGGTACAGTTGTCCTTGTGACCTATAGGTTACAGGTTTGACCCTTAGAATCAGCCACCAATGCTTGCGACAGGGTAGATGCCTACATTATACTCCATGAACTCGGGATGCTTGGTACTATTAGTTTTAGAATTTTGTGGGTGGGTCATGGGTGTGAGCATAGGGGGTGGAGAAAGGTTACTGTCTGTTTCTTTACTTTCATGTTTTCAGTCTACATCATTTTTTGCTCGTTTGACACAGGTTGGAGCAGGTTATGTGGTTTCATCAGGCAGTGAACATAAAGGAGAATCCTTAGCAAAGAAAGAGAAACAGTAATACTTTTATCGGTAACTTACAGTGTGTTCAACGCGACACTGATCTCCATACGACTTTTGTTGCTTTGGCCTGCCAATGATATGCCGGTCCAACGTACGCCATGGCAACAAAACAGAGCAAAGTCAATTTTGTTTGGCATTCTTGTTTTGGTTTTAAGGTTTTTTGCGTTTTTGAGTTTTTGTTGTTAGGATGAATTTGTTGTAGAATTTACATAGTATTTGATAATCAAAACTCGACATACTCCATTTGATATGAAAAAGTGACTACTCTTTATTTCCTTTAGAGGCTTCAATGATTATATCAGCTTTGCCATTTTTTTTGTTGGCATTTTGAAAACGTTATATTTGTTTCGTCACCCCCGTCCCCACCCCCACCTCGACACTGAGATAGGAATCTAGGGGTGGGGAAGGGCTAGTAGTGGCATTTGGCAATAATAGTTCGTATAATTGCCAAGGATTGTGGTGAAGTGGATATGATTTTCTCCATCATTAATCATCAGAAGATTCACGTTCGAGTTCAAGAAATGAAAATAATTATGATATGGAGCGCTTAGTTTGAAGTCCCAAAATGGATATCGAAAATGAAAAAAGAAGAGGAATAGTTTGAGTAGTGTACAGCTATGATAACAAAGTAAAAACTGAGCCATGTACTATGTAGATTGGAGGAAGTGAAGCTGTCTACGAAGGAGAAGCAAAGGATCCATATTCCATATACATAGGTGAAATGAGTGTTGAATCAGCGAACTTGTCATAGTTTTGCAAATTCAATTGTTTGCTTACCCTCATGGCCTTTACTGAAGAAATAATTGAAATAATCTGAATACACAACATGCTTATACAATGGCTTCTCTCCATTTTGTAGCACTTGTGTTAAAGGACCAAAAACTGCATCAGGTGCTGGATTCACAAATATTGGCACTGACACTCTGTTTCTGCTGGCATTTACAATCACACGATGCTCGATGCTCTTGTACCTATCGTTGCTCATGATTTGAAGGACGTCCCCGATATTGATCACGAGTGCCCCTTTGACTGGGGGCACATGAATCCAGCCATCACCTTTGGGCTCTCGCACGTAAAGGCCACCAACATCGTCTTGTAGGAGCATGGTGATCGAAGAAACATCAGCATGACGGCCAGCACCAGCAGTGAGCTCGGGGTTTGGGCACACGGGGTAGTGAATGAGGTTAACGATCAACGTGCCCATAACAACAGATTTCATCGATTCATCAATCTGCTTAATGTTTAGTTTCTCGAGCAACACCTCGAGAAGCTTTACTATAATAGGTTTAGCCCACTTCATGTACTCCAAAACCTGATCTCTGTAGAAGTAAGAATGACATTAGTCCAAAAAATGGTCTACATAGATGTTGATATTCAGGGTGGATCTACAGTATTAAGTATGGGTTCCTATTCAGGGGCGGATCTACAGTATCGAGTATGGATTCCTACGAAAATGGTCTAGAAAAGGATAGCTCGGTTCACAAAGCATCCCGCGTTAGCAGGGCCTAGGGAAGGGACGCACACCTAGGGGTGTAACATAGACAACTTACCCTAATGCAAGCATTAGTGGTTGCTTCCACGGCTATTGGTCACACAGAGACAATTTTACCTTTGCTGGCTCCCCTTCGAAAATGGTCTGAATAGATACTAATATTCAGGGGAGAATCTACAATATCAGTGGCAAAGAAAGGTATAAAACTAGATATAGCCACTTAGCTAACAAATGCATATTTGTTTATGTTTATTTTTAACCATAGTGTCCGAGCCAACTTTCGCGCATGTTTGTTTATGCTTGGCCTTAGATCACTGAATGTAACTTAATACTTTCTCCCCAAATGTGATAGTAGTTCTCTTGCCATCAAATCCCTAACCCGTTTACGACATATTTAGTGAATTTCTCAACATATATACAGGGCCTAGGTTAAAGCTACTAGATTCTGTCGAACCCATACAATAAACTATATATCCACCCTTGCACCTTTTCCGAGCCTTGGATCTGATCCTTATTCTTAGAGGCGGAACTAGAATTTCGAGTTTATAAGTTCTGTATTCTAGAAAAGGCTACTAGTTTGTGGTTGTGCCAACTCGGTAAGCAGAACTATAGCTCGACCCCTGCATTATACTGATAGGAGATAGGACGTACTCGTGAAATTAGTCGAGTTGCATACAAGCTCACGATCTGCCAAAAAAAAAGAAAAGAGACTAACTTGGAAACAGCAGGCCACAGCTTAGAGCTCTCATCATCATCACAGTCATAGATATGAAAAAGATAATCTTTCCACTCCAAAATCTTTTCAGCTAAAGGACTAAAACTGGTCTTCAATTGCACAGTATGAGTAGGTGAATTCTCTTTCAAATACTTCCTTCTTTCTTCAACAGACAATTCAAAGAACTTATGCCCAGCTTCAATTACATTTTCAAGAACTTCAATTGGGATTCCATGATTCACGATTTGAAAAAAACCCCATTTCTCTGCTGCATCACAAATCGATTCTGCAACTTTTGGGTCATTGAAATTTGAGAAATCGATAATGGGTATTGATTCTGAGGACATAATTTGGGTAAAATCTAGCCTTTCTTCATGGGGTTGAATGAATTTTTGAGGAACAATTTCAAGACCCATTTGACAAAGACCCTTTACGCCATTTCCTTTGTTGACGAGAAAATCAATGAGATCTGATGATTCAGAAACTTCTGCAATTGACATTTTTGTTGCAGGAAGATATCAAATGTGATATGCAATTGAGACTTTTCTGGGTAGAAGGGGGAAAATATCTGTCTGGTTTATGGTTTGGTATTGTTGCTCGGTACTCGTTTTGAAGTTGAATGAAATTAATTTCAAATTTGAGATCTCTAGTTGAGTGACTATCCATCACAATCTTTGGTGATTGTAGTGTTGGGGGTTTTCGTTATCCATCTAGTATTTGATATTTATATTAGCTTTAATTCCGTGATAAACGAGCTCTGTTTTCAAACATATTTGTCTATCCGTAATGGGGATCATATTGACAGAAATATAGGCCGATACGTCTCTGGCTTGTGTTTCAATGACGGGTAAGGCGGTCACGCTATCTGCGCCTCTCTAGTCCGATCGTTTAGCCGCTCTTTCTAAGTGACGGGAATGTAAATAGAAAACATCCCATTGAAAGCAAATTCATTTCCAAACTCGAGATTTCTGATGATAGATCTTTGGCGATGATAGTGTTATTTAAGTAGGTATTTTTTTCTCATTATGTATACGGTATTCACTTTGGAGCTGAAAGCAAATTAATTCCAAACTTGAGATATTGAGAGATTACCCCATTATAATCTTTGGTGATTATAGTGTCATTTAAATTGGGGTTTTTCGTTATCCATTCTGTATTTGATACCCATTTTAGGAGTTTAGCAAATACATTTCGAACTTCAGACTTATAGTTAATGATGGAGATAGTTACTATCCGTCATGATCTTTAGTTGTGATAGCGTTATTTAAGTAAGTGTTTTTTCTCATTCTATATTCGATATACTTTTTGAAGCTAAAGGTGAATTCATTTTAAATTGCGAGATTTCTAGTTAATAATTGAGATACTTAAGCTGGTGATGTCAATGTTATTTAACCTTTTTTCCTCATCTTATACCCATACCTGTTTTGGGACCAAAGACAAACTTATTTCAAATTTGAAACTTTTGGTTAATAATTAATGCATAAGGCAAGGTTATTATAAACAAAAAGTAAGATAAAAGGATTAAAATAGGATTATTAAATCATAAGGGCGGGCAAGATAAAGGGAAAAAATAACTTACACAATCACACCAAATTACTAGTTACATAGAATAACAGTTTTCGTCATTATAATAATAGATTAATAATATAATAACAAAAAAATTGTAAATCAAAGCATCAAATTTTAGCAAAATCTAGTGATGCTTTACCAGAAGGCCTCTTACTAAAGAAATAATCCCAATAATCAGAAAACAAGACATGTTTGTACACTGGTTTTTCTCCGTCTTTTAGCATTTGTGGGAATGGACCAACGACACTGTCAAGGCTAGGATTCACAAATAGCGGTACAGATATTCGAGCCCTGCTTGAATCAACCGCTACACAATGCTCGATACTCTTGTATCGATCATTGCTCATGATCTGCAACGAGTCACCTATGTTAACTGCTAAGGCACCTTTGATTGGATTTACGTGGATCCAATTGTCGCCTTTAGTCCCTCGGACATATAGGCCTCCCGTGTCGTCCTGGAGGAGCAGAGTGATGCAGGACACGTCGCAGTGTCGACGACAACCAATGGTGATACTTGGATTTGGACATGGTGGATAGTAGTTTATGTTGATAGCCATAGTTCCCATCAAGAGAGGTTCTAAAGATTCATCAATTTCATTGACATTGAGACCCTTCAATAGTACATCTAACAACTTTTTAGCAAGTGGTTTTGCCCACTTTTGATACTCCAAGACTTGGTTCCTATAAATCAGTGACGAAGTCAAAAATTTAGTTAAGAGCGTACGGAATTTAATGGCAATGTCAAGAATTTTGCTAAAAACATTCAAGATTTAATGTCAAAGTCATAAATTTTACGAAGTGTGTTCGAGAATTTATTGAAAATAATATTTTTACCATGTAAAGGCAAAATAAGATATGCGTACATCCTATCCTTCCCATACCCTACTTGTGTGCGATTATACTGAATATATTATCGTATAAAGATAATTTTTTCTCCAACACATGCAATATACTTTTGACTTTAAGTTATTTACACCACTATTAAAGTTAGAGATAATGGCAAAAAATACACCTGAAATATCATGTTTTGTAAGTCTTCTTTTGAACTATCATCAACTAACTATCAAAACACACCTCTAAATTAATGAGTCAGTTTCCATGTTAACGAAATTCTATAGGCAAATTAAGTTGTTCAAACACTTTTTAGCGATTGTATTCAAACATTTGGTCTAATTAGCTTCGAAGTGTGTTTTCATAAACATCTTACCGTTAAGATATTGAACTCACGAAAAAAGTAACACTTTAGGTATGTTTTTTTACTTACTTAAGAACACATGATCTATAGATTACATTGAACAAAAAACCCAAAAAAGTTACCTTGTTTGAGGAGGCCAAAGATTGCTATCATTTTCTGGATTACAACCATGTTTTATACTATCCCTCCACTCCAAAACTTTCTCATCTTTGTCACCAATAGCACTCCAATACAACAACACAGATTCATCAGCACCAACATTTTCTTTATAATACTTAACTTTTTCTTCAGCTGGCAATTCAAAGAATTTGTGTCCTGCTTCTTTCAAATCTTCAAGAACTTCAATTGGGATCCCATGATTGATGATTTGGAAGAAACCCCACTTGCTTGCTGCTTCTTGAATTGATTTTTCAACATTTAAATCATCAAAATTTGACAGATCAATTGTGGGGATTGATTCTTGATTGTCAATTTGAGATTTGTCTAGTCTTTGTTCTTTTGGTTGAATGCATTGATTTGGAATAATTTCAAGGCTTGTGTCTGCTATGCCTTTTAGTCCATTTGCTTTCTTGATTACAAAATCAAATATGTCATCATTTGGTTCAAATTTTGAAGAAGGCATTTGTGTTGAATATTGATAAGTGTGTACTAATGGAAGAAGGAAATTTGTGGGGTTTTTTATGGTGGGTTTGAGAGGAGTGTGTGGGTGGTTGGGGGTTGGCTATGAAATGATGAAAGATTGAATCATTCTTTCATCTAGCAACGATGGGTTATGGAGGAGTAGTAAATATTTTTCATCATTAATCAAATGGCTTGAATTCGAATTTTTCTGAATACATAGTCGTCTTTGTTAATTAGAGGAGCGTTTTACCTCTCAATATGAAACTTTTTTATGCGAATTCAAATTTAGTTAGACTCAATAAGAATATTGAAAAAAAATCACTCCTTCTAATAATTGAATTGATTTTTTAATTTAGTATTTCAATTTTTTAATTTTATTTTATGCTTAATCAAACATCATCATCATAAAATAGTTATTTGAAAATTGGTGATGTGGCTTCTTGATGTCCAAATGCATGAATAACGAAATTTGTATATTATATCCATAAAAATTATCAGTTAAAAATAGTATAATTTATTAATTTTTTTGTAGTATTCACATAGTATATGATAAATCAAATTATGAAAAAGTGACTACTCTTTATTTTCCTTTAATTAGTGGCTTCAATGATTTTATAAAAAATCTTGTTTTATCATTTCTTTTCTTTGACATTTTGAAAACGTTATAATTGTTCTGTCTCCGTACCCCCCACCCCCCACCCCCACCCCACCCACCTCGACACTGAAGTCTGAGGTGCAAATCCCGAGGTGGGGACCCGCTAGTATTGGCATTTGGCAATAATGTGTTACCTTGTGTCATAATAGTTAGCGCTAGTTTTTGAACACGTGCATTATATTTGTGTTCATATGATTTTTTATAAATTTGTTAGAACAATTAAATTATTTCTTCATTCTATTATTTTAAGGGAATGGGGTTGCGGTATATGGATGATATATTAACGACCCAAACAAAATTTTTGAATTAATTTTTATTTAATATTTTAATTTTTTCTTTTTCTTTTATGTATAGTCAAACATCATTATCATCATAAAAAGTAGCTTGGTGAGAAGGCTTCTTGGTGTCCATATGGATGAATTGTGATTTGTTTGAATAACATCCACATCTTTGTTGTCAAGTTGTCAATTGTCATGAATGATGAATTTTTTTACCATATAAAGTAAGTGGGAATAGGTGATTTACAAAATTTTGTTAGTGTACATAAGTTAAAATAGTGGGAATGAAAAAATTACATTAAAGATACTAAAAATAATAATAATTAATAATTTAAAATATTTTAATATTATAAAAACATATAATTAATTGTGTTAATTTTATTCGTGCCAAATAAATTAAAACAAATAAATTAATATATCATGCACTCCGATATCTATAAAAATTATCAATAAAAATAGTATTATTGTAACACCCCTGATTTCAAGATTATTTATTGTCTTACGTTGCAGGCTAAGAGCCAAAGTGGAGAGTCCTCTTGTGTGTTGTAGTCTTCTATATAAAATTATAATAATAAAAATATTAGCTAATTATTTTGAATTAATATAAGAAAAATTAAATAGCTAGTCTAAAAATATACTTAAGAAACACTAGTTTATTTATAAAACTCTAAATTAAAAGAAACATGTATTTTTTTTATAAATTTTCTTTTCTTTTGAATAAATTGAAAATAAAACTTAACCTAAAATGTGAAGGTTTCCCATGAAAACCAACGTGTTTGATCTCCACGTCATGAATATAGTATAGAGGGTACCTTTGGAAATGAATTCATGACTAGTAGAGGCACTTCAGACTCCAAACAACACCCTAAGAGTTTCACCACGTTTTTAAAAAGTGTAAAATAGGATTATTAAATTATAAAAAAGGGCAAGATAAAGAAAAAATAAATAAATAACGGACACGATCACACCAAATTGCAAGTTACATAAAATAACAGTTTCATCATTACAATAACATATTTATAATACAAAAACATTAACATACAAGAACTTTGAAAAATAAAGCATCAAATTTTAGCAAAATCTAGTGATGCTTTACCATAAGGCCTCTTAATGAAGCAATGATCCCAATAATCAGAGAACAAAATATGTTTGTACACTGGTTTTTCTCCATCTTTTAACATTTGTGGGAATGGACCAATGACACTATCAAAACTAGGATTCACGAAT